CACAGCAATTCTGCCCTAAACCATCCAGCTCACTCAGCCTCAGCTGGTGCCAGCCACGGGTCTGCTGGGACTGGTGCGCTGCAACCACACCAATGCAAACAACAGGTCTTACCTGTGGTAACAAGCTTAATCTGACCCTCTAGAATGAAATACAAATTATGATGGACTACTTTTATTTTTTTAAGACACTAAAACTGCTGGTGCCAGCAGGTGATGCTGTGCTGTTTAGTTTATCAGAACCCCTGGGTTACCTAGCAGGAAGATAAAAGGTCTTCATTGTCAAACCAACCAAACAAGTTCTGGCAATAGAAACAATTTATAAATCAGAGTACAAACCTACTTGCTCAGCAAGTTAGGTCAAGTGAGCAAAAAGAGGAAGGGGGACTGGACAGAGCTGCATCCCAATACTGACCTCCATCCACAACCCGGCCATGTGCATGCAAAGGGCTTTTCTCCTGTGTGCCTCCTCAGGTGGGCTTTCAAATGGCTGCTTTTCGTGTACATCTTGGTGCAACCAGGAAAAGAACATTTATGCATTTTAATGAGTTCAGCTGCAGGGTTCTTTTGAAATTTCTGACCCATGATGATTCCCGTCTGCCCCTGGATCATGCCTCCTGGCCCAATTGGCTTGGCGGCGATGGGGACGGGAGCAATGCGGACAAATTTAGAGGACAAGTTCAAATTGGACGACTGAACTATCTGAGGCACAAGGGCAAATGTCTGTCCTTGGATGTTGACTAGGAGCTGTGCAATTTTAATGTTCTCCTGTGCTGGTCCTTGGGAAGTGGGGCTCGTGTTGGACTCCTGTTTGATCTGCACAGGCTGAATTTGGAGCATAACCGGTATTCCATTCTCCAGGGTCATTCCTCCATTTGAAGCTTGGCCACCTTCCGCTGAGCTAGTCAACTGCTCATTTTTATTCTCTTTTAAACTAGTACTGGGTAACATATGGTCTTTTTGCTGCAGCGAAGCAACAGAAACCTGGCTGCAAGCTCTCAAGTCCTTGGTCTCGCTTTTAGGTCTTTCTTTGAGCTCCAAGTCCATGTTCTCCTCCAAAAATTCCTCAATTTCCTCAAGTGTGGGCTGAAATGGTCCTGAGTCTTCCATATCCACGGCAAATTCAGGCAACCTAAAGTACTCCTCTTTCACTACTGGCTGAAGTCTCCTTTTGTCCCACCATGATGCAGTGGTGTTCCCCAAAGATGCCTGGGACAATAAATAGTCTAAGATACTGTCCTGACTTTCTGCACTGGATGTGCTTCCATAGCTGGAGCTGAGGACCTGGGAGTCAGGGCTGGAACAAGAACAAAAGCTGGACGAGTCACTGTCATCCTCTGACAGGGGAGAGGGCAGCATTTGGTAGGACCTCACACCAGCTGTCATGTCCCCAAAGTATCCAAGAGGAGATCTTGTGGATGAAAAGGATTCATCAGTAGGCAGCAAGTGATCCACCATTCCTGGATGATCTCTTAAGGATATCCCAACAGCATATACCAGGTAGCTAAAGTTCAGGTGAGAGCCTAAGTGCAGGAAAAACAAAACAGCAACAGTCAGAAGTCGGTTTAATCATTTATCTCCATGAACTGAAACTCGTAAAGCCCTGTCCAGCCTCCCTGGGTACACAGGCTGCTACAAGCTTTGATACGTCTGCACCACCCCCCGAGGACTGTCAGGGCTGAAGCATTTTGCAGGATTGCACCACATATTTGCAAAAGAATGCTGTCAGAAATCATTTCCCAATCATATGTGCTCCAGATTTACAGCTCCCTTACAGAATATTACCGGCAAGAGAAAATAAATAACAAGCTTTCACCTAGCAGTGAAATCCAGAGCCAAAGAAGGGAATGGGAAGAAAAAATAAAGTGTTGAAATTTTTACCACCAAAAAGAAACAAATAAAAAAAGTTTATTGCTGGTGGCCATAAAATGCAAATCCTTTCCCTATCTTGTAACTTTCCACCAACCTTATTTTTAACTTCCTCAGTTCTACAAATATAGGCTGTTCAGCATAATGAAAGGATCAATCTGGCAGGAGCCAAAAATATTTACTGTGCTTCAGCATTTACTAGGTGGATTTTCCCCTCCAGATGTAATGAATCAGTGTGCCAACGTCATCATCACCTGCACTGTCCTTAACGAGGCTGGCACTGCACGGAGCTAATTACCGTGCCCTGCCAGCCAGCTGCTGCTGCTGTCACCCCTCCGCCCCACGCCCCTCTCTCGCTGGGCTGAGCCCCGAGCCGGCTGCTGCACCGGGAGGGCTGCACGGCCCCGGCATCCCCACCTGGCCCCGGTGCCCGTGCTGGGGCAGCATCCCGCAAATCCGGCTCCCCTGAGCCCGCATCCCGCAAATCCCGGCTCCGCTGAGCCCGCATCCCGCTGCAAACCGCGGCAGCAAACCCGCCTGTGCCAGCGCAGCCCCTGCGCTTTAGCGGCTAAGGCAAGCAAACTTCCAAGAAAGGCGCCTGCGGAGGGGATGGCAGGAGCGACATCTGCCTATTGTTTTCATTCCCCACCTCCCCGAGGGAAAAAAAACCCAAAAAATTGCTTACGGACGGAGATTATGCCCCTTAGCGAGCAAACGCAGAGAGCTCGGGATGGAGCGAACACTGGCCCTCAGTCATTTGCTCAAGGTGACTGATTGAAAACAGAGCCGTACATGTGCATAATAAAACAACTCTTTCTGTGGAAGGTATGTGGAGTGCAGAGATAGAAGTCATTCGATCAGCCTATGAGGCTGTGTGTGTGTGTGAATTAGGAGGCATGTGACCCAGCGTGAAGGAAATGCCAGTCAATCTTGTTACACGCTGTCATTTTCCACAGGCTCTGCCGCTGCGCTTTGGACGCTTTGCCATGAATAGTCAATAGCTCCCAGTTTTGTGCAGGCGAGAGCATGGTTGTTACTGCTGTTGCAGATGCTGCCTCATCTCCAAAATTTGCCCTGTCTTTCCTTCTCTGGAGAAAAATCAGGTGTCTGTATGCTCAGTGCTGCAGTGAACACAGAGTGAGGTATTTTACACAACACCCTTAAATAACTCTGTCCCATTGGCAACATCTATTAATATTTCCCAGGAAGGGGGGGCAGAAGCCATATTTCTTAAAGATATGGCTTCCTCCTTCATAGACACATGGAGGAAACAGGGACAGGTTGAAATAAAGATTAAAAGTAAGATTGCACATTTTTCTGGTCTATGTATCCTGTCAGTCAGCTGTGTCTCTGAACCAATAATGAAATACCTACATGTGCTGAACACGAGGAAGTTCAAACAGAGGTTAGTGGCTCTGTTTTGTGACCTTAGCCTATAATCATGTCTTACAGTAAAAGCGAAGAGTCAGAAGAACTGAACTATTTCTAACACACTTTTTTTTTGTTTTTTGATCTCTGTATTGATGGAAAGTTCCCCCAGCAGAAGTCCCATAGCTGAGCTATTGCAGTTTTGAAACAGAAAGCACCATCTGCTTCTGACAAATTAGTATTGGCATCTGGTAAGAATTCACCCAAGCTGATTGTTTCTATCTTGCACCAAAAGCTGGTGACTGCCTTGAGAAACACAGGGCAGAAAGGAAAACTTGCCCTCAGATGGTTTCTGATCCTCCCTCCAATGTCTGTATTATTCCAGCCTAAGCCTCTGAAGAATGGGGCTGTGAGGGAAATCTGGACTGCAACATGTGCTTTTCTAAGAAAAGCTGGCGTGCTCTGCGTGCACCAAAAGCAGTTGGTGAACTTCTCTAAAAAAAAAAATATTAAAATGTTTGAGGTTTCTTTAAATGCTTGCAAGAGCTGGGAAGCACATATCAAAATATCCATATATTTCCCTGGGAATAGAACTAAACTGTAATTTGAATAAGGACTTAAATGAGGGGGAAGAAAAAGAATAATGAACCCCTAGCAATTGCTGCGGGCCGGTTACCTCAGCAGAAAACAGCCCGCAGGCTTGTTTCCCCTCTCTTTTGACAAGGAACAATGTCACTAGATGTAACCAGAGGCTTTTTAAGAGAGGACTGTCAGAGCCAAATAGATCCAGGCACATTACAGGCCAGTTCTGCTTTCTGTGCACTCTCAAAGCTTGCAGAACAGCCAAGAAGATTTTGGAGAATGCCTGGAATGCAGGATCGGGCCCTAGCTATATTTTTTTTCCTAAAGGCCAGGCTAACAACCAAAAGACTTTTATCCTTACTTTGCCTGAAGACACGGCCAAAAACAGAAGAATAGAAAACAAAACCAAAAAAAGCCGGGACTGTGAAGGCTATGAAAACTAATGATGCTGTTTCCATAACACACTTTTCATCTCTAGGAACGCTGAAAACACGTTAGAAATGTAAGCACCTATAGTGAGACCGCAGTGCCTGAGCCACTGGAAACAGCCACTTCTGGAGTGAAACACAGCAGCTGTTCGGCAGCACCACCGTCTCCAACTTTTTTTTAAAAGAGTTCCCTGGGTTGTTATGATGTCCTTTCTGCCAAAAACATGTTGTTCTGTTTAAAACCTGACCATCTAATCGCCAGCTTAAAAAAAAAAAAAATTACAAAAAGCAAACCAGAGAAGACATATTTTGACTCAGAGCAACATTAAAATGTGAAGTCTTGGGAACTTGCTGAAACACGGGGATGAATTTCCCAATTTCCCAGCCTGTCATTTCTGGACAGTCAGCTCAGCACAACTGATCATACAGCATACATGAGACGCTGACAGTCATTTCCTACATTTACTGCCACAGCTTTTTCTAGTTTAAGACTAATCTCTTCAGGGTTTTCTCTTGTTTTAAATCTGTTCAGGCTGACTTCTGCTCCACAGACAGAGCTATAAACAAGGCAATGAAGGAGGCCCAGAGCTTCTAAGAAATTAAGTGAAATGCAAAGGAGGAGGTAAAAAAAAAAAAAAAAATTAAAAAAATAAAAAGAAGCCGTGAGCCAGGAGTAAACCCATTTGCTCTCGTCTCTTCCGCAAGGTGGCTGTGCTGCTCCCCGGACACAGTGGGGTAATTCAGGTTTGTTTTTTCCAAACACGTTGCTCCTGAGAAGCTGCAGAAACATTCCCAGAGCTTTCTTTCCTGAAAACTAACCCGATCTAGCCCCAAACTTTGCCTTCCACAAGAGGAAGCACTTCACCTGCAGCAGGCACAGGCAGTGGCCCCGCCGGAGCGCACCCCGGCAGTGAAGGGAGCCCCGAAAGAACGCTGGGCAGGGAAAGGGGTGCCGGGACACACACACGGAATTCCCACTCCAGCACGAGCACAGCCAGGCTTCCATGGCTGCGAAACATGTTTGTTTGGGCTTTATTTAATCGTGGTTTGTTTGTTTGTTCCGTTTGTAGAGGTTTTTTGGAGATTATTATTTATGCATTGATTTTTCCTTCCATCCCTTTTCAGGAGGCTTTGGGGGGGCCCAGCTCCTTCTCTCTCCCCCCCTCCAGCATGGTCGCGATGATCGGGAATAACCCCCCCGCCTCGCCGCCTGTCACTCCATGGCACGGCACCGCTCCAGCCCGAAATCAGCCCCCAGCCCTGGCCGCTGCCCCGGCGGGGATGGAATTCCATCTGCCGTGCGGGCAGCCGGGGCACAGCGGCCCCGCGCCCCATCCCGCCCTTACCTGAACTCCTCTGCGAGCCGGGGGGGGCAGCAAAGGCCACCAACGACCAGGAGAGCGCAACAACAACAACAACAACAACAACGAAAACGGGCGAGAAAAAACCCAAACAACACAACCAAGCCACAAAAAAAAAAAAAAAAAAAAAAAAAAAAAAAAAAAAAAAAAAAAAAAAAAAAAAAGGGCAAAAAATAACTATAGAAATAAAAATTTTAAAAAGCCACGCTCGCACAGTAAAACCGCGGAACTCAACGCAAGCGAAGCGCGGAGGCAGGAGCGGCCGGAGCGCGGAGCGGCGGGAGGCGGGCGCAGCTCCCCCGGGAGGCGGGTGCGCGGCTGCGGAGCGCGGCCCCGCTCCCGTAGTACTATATCCCCCTCACATGACGGCCGCCCGGCCGCGCCGGGGGAGGCCGGGGAGAGGCTCGACCGCGTCCGCCGCCCCCATTGGCCCCGCCGCTGCGGGGGCCGGCCCGGCACCGGCCTCAATGGGAGCCGCGCCCGGCCCCGGGGCGGCGCCGCGGGCGGGCTGCGAGCCCCGGGGTGCTGCGAGCCCCGGGACGCGCGGCCCTGCGAGCCCCGGGGTGCTCCCGGCCCTGCGAGCCCCGGGATGCGCGGGCAGGCTGCGAGCCCCGGGGTGCGCGGCCCTGAGAGCCCCGGGGTGCTCCCGGCCCTGCGAGCCCCGGGGTGCGCGGCCCTGAGAGCCCCGGGGTGCTCCCGGCCCTGCGAGCCCCGGGGTGCTCCCGGCCCTGAGAGCCCCGGGGTGCTCCCGGCCCTGAGAGCGCTCGCAGGGAGAAATGGGTCTGAACCACACGAAGGGTGGTTTGGATTCGCTGTGAGGAAGAGTTTCTTACAGCAAGAGTGATGAAACACCGGAACAGGTTGCTCGGAGAGCCGGTTGATGTCCATCCCTGGAAACATTCCAGGTCAGGTTGGACAGGGCTCTCTGAGCAATTTGATCGGGTTGGAAACGTCAGTGCTCCTTGCAGGGCGCTGGACTAGGTGGACTGTTAATGTCCCTTCCAGCCCTAAGCGTGCAAGCCTCTGGACATCCCGCGGAGATAAGCGAGTCCCTGGGGAGGTGTGAGGAGTCCCATGCCCTTTCCCCTGCCCGCCAAAGCTTGATGGGGGCATTTCCAGCATTCCCACACACACCCCATTGTTACTACAGACATCACTAGTTCTTCATATAAACACACATCATAATTTATGTACATGTATATACATCGATGTATAAACAAACAAACTATAGTTATGCAGTGCTTGGTGTGGATCAGGATCTGTGTTCAGCTCCTGCACAGGAAGCTCTCAGCGGGGCCAGCTGCAGCAGCAGTCAGTTTTTCTGCTCAATCAGTGGTTTTTCAAATGCAGTTTTTCCTTTTTTCAGATTTCTTGGGAAGGTGCAGCCTGGGATATCAGAATGCAGTCCTATGACAACAGGTCTGGCACCCTTTTTTGAGGGCACATGGGACAGCACACCGTTCCTTCTTCCCACAGTAGGCCTCACTGTGCTGCAGGGAAAATGAAGTGTTATTCTCATTTTATGGGGAAACTGAGGCACAGAGGATCAAACAAATAGTCTGTGGCAGAACCAAAATGCAGTCTCATCTCTTCTCAAATCCAGCTCAGTTTGAACTCACAAAAATATCCTCTATCTACATTTCTTCAGAATTGCCAGTAACACATCCCACAGCCTGGCAAACATAAACCAGTCTCTTCCCAGGAGGACATTCAGCCTCAATAAGTCATGGCTGGGCAGCAGCACAGGGGTGACCCTAAAGGTGCTGCTTCATTCTACTGGGGATGCTGAAAGGAACTGGGGGTGCTCAGGGCTCTGCTCGCATGCACAGACCTCGTTCTTCCTCTCCACATTGTCTCAATGAATAATGCATGAATACGTACTCATCAAAACCCTAGATACTATATTTGTACAAATACAGCAGGGCCAAATTCTGCATTAGTGTAACTTCACTGACGTAAAAAGGATTACGTTGGTAAAAATGTCGGCCTTAAATATTTTTACCCAAAATAGATGTTTGGCAAACCTCGCTTTACTGCTTTTTCTCAATTAAAACCCCTTTGTTTCCTGAGGAGGCGAAGTTTAGTGTGATTTAGCAATGCAAAGGACATGAAATTTAGATACAATCTAAGCCAACAAGGCTGGGCTTTAATAGAATTTGAACATGTACAAAATTCCCTTGTAATGTTTATGACATGAAAACAATCAAAAGTTGCAATCTTAATTTTATCATTACTATTACCTACCTTTCATTTTTCACTTGCAAAAGGCAATGTCTTCGTATTTAATCACAGTAGTTCTAGTCTTTCTTTAAATTGCTAGAAATGCAGTGAAGTCCCATATTTACCTTATGTGGAAATAAAACGGTGTTTTCCCAGTTCTGCTTTTCAAGTTTCATCAGTTTTATTGGGCCCACAACCTTTTCACTTCCCCAAAAGCACCACTGGAAGCTGGGTCCTTTGCCCACTCTGCAGCTTCAGGGCTGTGCTGTTGGCTGTTTCTGAGGCTGGAGATAGGAAGGTGGGAATTTCCAGTGGGCTCAAGCAGATCCAAACACGCTGCTGTGGGAGGGGATGCACTGCCACCATCCCCTGTGGCAGCACCTGCCCCTGTGTGGCTTCATGGCGTGATGGAGGAGGGGTCTGATCCTTTTTCACATCTGAAGAACCTTACTGAGCATCTCAGCCTTTCAATACTGCTGTGAGGTGAAGTGCAATGGAAAATATCAGGAAAGTGTAACTAAGGCATCTGTATTTCTCCCTGAGATTTCACTATGGGGGGAGAAAAAAAAGTATGAGAAATGCAGGCAGTGCACAGCACCTGGGAAGGGAGTGCAGAACATGCAGAATGAACCCTGAACCAAGCTCACCCACACAGTGTGACAAGCTCTGCATGCACCAAGCCTTTTGCACATGTCCAGATCCCCTTTGCTGTGCTCACAGAGTCCATGGGAAACTCCAGCACAGCCCTCGTGTGTAGGCTCAGTGGCTGTGCCTTCAGCATTCCTGGGTGTCCAGAGCTCTCGCAGAAGTCACTGCCCTGACCAGGCTGTTGGACATCAGTACACCCTCGACAAATATCAAAGTCTTCTTTTCTGCTCAGGCAGAATTTTTAGACAGAGACAAAGGATATGTTAAAATTAAAATACAGGATATACAACAGCACAAATTCTGATGCCTCACTACAGCATAAACCTGTCACCTTACAACAGAGAATAATGGGGAAATGCACAAAAAATGCACAAAATAATGGGAAAATGCACACTGCCCCCTAGAATGCCAGTCTGGGGTTGTCCTTGCTGAAACATCTCTGCAGCTTCATCCATGACAGCATCTTTTCTGGGCAAGCATTTTAACAGAGACATTTTCTTTCTCAGCTAGACCATATTTTCTTATCCATGAGTCTGCTGGGAGTGCCTCGAACTGCAGACCTGGTTTTGAGGTCTGCAGGCACACTTTGGGGCTTAAATCCAAAACTGAAGATTACAAGCTACAGTGGCAGGTGCCAGCCTCTGAGCTGACTCAGCCTCTTTCCATCCCTCTGTGATCTCTGCATGCACTTCTCAAGCTGTGAACTGGTTAATTCTTCTGAGCCCCACGACAGCGAAAGCAAGCTGACACACATCTAAGTTTTGCTCAAGGCTTTGGAAACACTACAAGCCTTTATTAACAGCAGGGGAAATGCACAGATCTAGATAAATATAATTACTTCTGATCCCTTTTTTTCTGCCAACTCTTCATGAGAACCAGCACTGACTGTTGGGCTGGGACAAGATTTTGGGAATGAATTTTTCTGCATCTGTAACTGATGTCTCATATCAGCATTCTTCATTTGGTACTGCAGCACAACTGAGTCCTCATTCCATGCTGTGAAATACATCTGAATTTTCCCAACCCATTCTTTTTGTGCATCACTAAGAGATTTCCTTCCCTTTTTTCACCTCTTCAAGAACTCCTTTGAAAATCTATAGTTACTTCTGTCCCTTGCTATTACTCGGGTATTTTCCATTCTCTCTTTTGCCGCCTTTCAGGCGAGAACTTCAGTCAAACTGGTTGCCCTGCTCAGACAGCCTTTCTGGCATTGGCACAGCCCAGTCAAACACTGGTGATAACACAGAGTTAAGGTCCTTTTAACTCGCTTTTGTCTGATGGCTGATTGCTAAAGATCTAGCCAGGAAAGGCAGATAAACCTCAGCAATCAAGCTTAAAAAAAAATTCCTGAAGATAATAATTTCCCTGCTTTATAAAGTTAAAAAGGAGCCATAGGCTGAACTGTTCATGAGTTGCTGGGTGCCACGTAACACACAGCCATTAAAGGTGGAAAAGGCAGCAAAGGTTCCCCCACACCACACTCAGCAGTTCACACCTAAGAATTGTCTGGCTCTGCTCATACTTTGCCTTTCCTTTCATGCTCTACAGAGGCTGACTTTTCCTGCCTCGGATTTTCTCCTCTTTTGTATGTTGCTTGCACAGTTTTGTGTTACAAAATCCTTTTCGTTTTTAAGGGGACTTGAAAGAAAAATGAACTTCATGGATGGACAAAAAGAAAGATTGTGTTGCATTGGGTGAGTGCTTTGTTGTCTTTAGAGGTCACCTGTGGTATTTCTGCCCCAGCCCTTGCTATTTCCCATTTACTGCAGCAGCAAACTATTAGTAATATGATGAGCCAACCAGCCACCTGGCAAAATAAGGGTTAGTCAGGCTGAATTGATTATTCACACATTTCCATCTGATTTACAAATCAAGGTTGAAAGAAGCAAAAATAATCAAACGCAGTAAAAATAAATAAAAAGGAAGTTCAAATTCTATTTGTTTGTTTTGTGTGTTGTTTGAGGGCTTTTTCCATTTTTTTAAGTTAGCCTCCTGCAGATGGATCCCTTCCATGTGCCACAAAGCCCTTGGTCACATCCAGCTGAGCTCTTCTGAGCTTCAGCTTTCAGCACCAGAACAGTTACATAGGGACAGAGGGAACAAAAAAAGCCTGTCAGACTCTCCAGTAATGTTATGATCACATTAACTTAGCAGTCCGTGACACTCACAGATAAGGACTGTAAGTTCTCTCAGTGCTACAGAAATATTGACACAAAGAATATGTTTATCCCTGGCTGTG